CAGACCTGGTAACTACAGCGTGTCTGACAGGGAAGGTTCCTGATCTTCCCACCCTAACAATCTTTGTTGCTGTTTTAAATGGTTCCCAGTGGTCTTTAAACCATGATGATGCTGTTTTTAGCTGAAATTACTAAACCTGTGCCCTTTTCTAGTACTTAACTTCTACATAATGGCAGTAGCTCATGAAAAATTCACCTCTGGGTTGTGGGCGGAGCTTTTGGCACAGACGACAGGGACACGCTAGTAAGGCACCCGACTTACGCCTAATTTATACTTCTCCATCTGCGTCGGGACGGACGCACGCGACACCATTATCTGTCCTTTGAGGGCTCTACGACAGACTCGCGAGGACAGACGGAGTCCAGCTCTCATTTCTAAACATCCATCCAACAAGACGGATAACGCAAGCTTGTGATTGGTCAGGACGCCGCTGTCATCGACAGCGCCGCCATTACACCCTCAAACACATAAAGAGAGGCGAGGATAACTAGTGGCGGACACGGAGAAGCTTGAAGAATACGAACGTTTTATTCCCCCGTGGCTGGAGGAGTGAAAAGACACACAGCATTTTATTCGTGGACGTAAATGACAGGAAGCGTGGGTTTAGAGTTGACGAGTGCATGAAGAGTTGGAGCAGGTGCACATGGTTCACGTCATTTGAGTTAATACTGTGATTGGCTGAAGACAAAATATGGTAGCCAGTGCCAGCCAGGCACTACCTTGCACGTCGTCCAATCAGCACAGTCTACTCCACCAGAAAGCCCTCCCTCCGTCAGTCGGTTTCTGCTGCAGAGAGTCCAGATGTGTAGACTGGACACGGGGCGGGGCTGCTGCCAGGTTACAAACACACTTCCTGATGATGAAAGTTCCAAAATAAAAGTTGAACTGATGTCGTTTCTGGTTGTGAATTTCAGGTCTTTCTGTGCATCTCTTTGGTTGTTGTATAGTTTTTATTTGGGCGTCTTTTTACTGTATTACTGTAAAAAAAAAGTCCTGATTGACATCTTAGTCAAAATCAGGCCCCAGGCTGGATTTGAAGCCAGACCCCCTGCATCTAAGTGGCTTACCAGCTGAGTTATGTATTTGACATTTGAATTTGTATTTCACGTCTTTCACAGCCTTGCTCAAGACGTGCAACGGACGTCGGTGAACATCTACTTCCTAAAACTTGGAGATTTAAATTAATTACTGCAGATTTAACCATGCAAGGATTAGGTGCAGCTTTATCACACTGATTTCATAGAGGGGCATGAAGGGCTATAAATGCACGCGCTATGGGCATCACCTAGTGGACGTCCACTTTCAACTAATACGTGGTTTTAATGTCCCTGAGAGCAAGGAAATTAATCCAATTGTGTCAAACTGAAAAGGATTTTGATGAAGTGTGAACGCTAATTTCACCATCTCTCATATCCAGTGTTGGGAGTAACGCCGTTGAAAATAACGGCGTTACTAATGGCGTTCTTTTTTGGGTAACGGAATAATCTAGTTAATTACTTTTCCCACTGTTGCAATGCCGTTACCGTTACTGGGGACGGGAGGTTGTGCGTTACTATGTGCTTGTCGAACGTTGAGCAACAGTGTGAGGCTTTCTGACCGCCATACTTCAGCTGCAGCCAGGGAGAGAGAGGTGTCGGTAACGCACTTACAAACACGATGATGATTGGCCGGGTGGGCGGAGACCCTCACTGTCTCAGTTGCTGCCTGCTGTAGACACAACAGAGCAGTGATGGGAATAACGCCGTTTAAAATAAACGCATTACTAAAAAAAATATTTCTTTCAGTAACGAGCAAACTAATTAATTACTGTCTTCTTTTATCAAAACGATCGTTTCTGTTACTGATAAGGAAATGTGTGCGCTAAGCAGCGTGGTGTGTTGAAGCTGTCATCAGCTGATCAGGAGCTAAAGAGGCAGATGTTTTCATCCAAGCGCATCACGGCCCGTGAAGAACGAGGAAGACGTGAATAGTCTACGGCTGCAGGTGTGGGTCTGCAGCCGTGCCCTTCTCAGCGTGACAGCGGGACGTCCCGAAGGTCCGCTCACCTGTTCACCGCTCAGACGTCCTGATCTTCTACCTTCCTAGATCATCCAGCTGTAACCTGTTACTGATCATGTCTTTAGTCCCGCTGTAACACTGATGCATCAGTCTCAGACGTCATGGAGCTCAGGTGTTATTAGAACTACCTGTGTGTGTTTACCACCCAGCTTCAGCTCTTCTGTGGTTGGGTCTGACCCAAGTTAGTAAATGTAAGTCCTCCATCAGGCTCGTGCCTCTTCTAGTGTCATTTTAAAGGATTTTAAGCTGGAAAAATTAGAATACTGTGCAAAATTACATTGATTTCTGTAATTTAACTAGACTGAGAGACCATTTAAAGGCTCGGAAACCTTTACAGGTGTTTCTATTTGCAATTATACATTTTAGCTGATTGGGGTCTTGTTAAATATCACACAGTGACATTTTAATAGTCTAGATAAGTGTAATGCTCCTGTTAGTAGTTCCTCCTGTTAAGTGCTTATTTATTTAAATTATTCAGGTTTATAAAAAACATTTGGACATACATTTTATTATGTTCCAGTCATTAATCATTTATATTTCACTATTGTAGTAATTCTTGCATGCTTTAATGAAAAAAGTAACTAAGTAGTTATTTTTCTTGGTAATTAGTTACTTTTGTAATCTTGTAACTCAGTTAGTAACTGAGTAACTTTTTTGACAAAGTGATCAGTAACTATAACTAATTACTTTTTTAAAGTAACGTTCCCAACACTGCTCATATCTTAATATTACAGCCCCCTTCAGCACATGGGTGTTGATCCTCCATCTTCTTCTCTACTCCTCAGCCTGAGGGAGCAGAGCGGAGTGGAGTCGGTGCTCCACCCAGTGGCTTTGTGACGTCACAAAGACCGTCAGTTTTAGACTGAAATCTTTCATCTGCTACTGATTCACAGCAATATGAATGCACAAACCCTCAAAAATGAAATGTTGGGCTCACATTTCTTTAGATACGTCCTGTAGCATAAGAAACATGTCTCAATAACATGATAAAAACAGAACAAACAGGATTTTCATTGGAGGAAGTGCGCATTAAAGGGACTTTATGGAGTTTTGAATTTTTATGCTCGTGATTGCCCCCTCAGGCCAAAAGCGTAACGGCAGCTTCAATAGTAGGCTCGTGCATGAGGCGCACGTGCTGTACGTGCACACTCCTTAACGAAAATAACCGCTGAGACAGTCCCTTGTGTGTGTGTGTGTGTGTGTGTGTGTGTGTGTGTGGCCCGGAGGACAGAGGACAGGAGAACGCACAGCTAATTAATTAAATAATTTGGTTCTGTACCTTTCTCTTCAGCACAGCCGACAAAGTGAAAGGTTGAACCCACATCTTTTTTATCTGTGAATTCAATGCCGTTCAGCGAGTCTCAAATAAAAATTTGGGCGTCTTACTGTAAAAAAAAAATACCATTAATGTAAAAAAGAAACTCTAAATAAACTATGTTGACTACATAATCGAACCCAGGTCTCCTGCACAAGAGTCCAACATCTTACTAGTGAGCTAAAGCGCCAGTAACAGTTGACGAATCTGTAATATTTATATCGTTGATGACAGCTGAAACAACGTTCAAAGAACGGTTCAGAGCGAAAATGGCTATTTTGTTGCTAATTTGCAGGAAATATCTAGAAGAAAGTTCTACAGAAAGTAGCTAAGGGTCCTCAGAAATGTCGCTAGCTTTGTCACTAGGCGTTAGGAACAGCGACAAAGATTAAAGCTACTGATAGCAAATGCTAAGGGCTATGCCTGAGCGTGAACGCGCATGAAGCAGCCTGCTCGACCCGAGCATCTCTCTTTTTCTGTGATTTTACAGAAAAAAAGGCAATCACAGTAAAAATGCCAGGGCTCATTCTACAGGACCAGGGCATTGCAGGAGAATGTATGAAGAAGACATTTATTATTTCTATACATGTTTTGGCTGTCAAACTTCCATAATGCCCCTTTAAGGCTTCAAGTGCGTGGTACACAATTTTTGCAAATAATTGCCGAATTGAGACAGGGAGCTTTGCATCATTGACCCTAAGACATACCAGGATGCTGGTTGCTGCGCTACTTCAAAAAAATCCTTTCAGAACAACTTTCAAACAAATGAACATCTAGATCTGTTGCTGCTTTGTGTAAAACACTCAGAGCATGAACTAATCGTCCTAAAATCAAATGCTTTCATTTGAAAATACTTATTTTCAAAATAGGCACTTGAGCCTTTTCCTGTGCAGCAATGGCTTGTGGGTAATACCCTCCACCCAAGTCTGCATCGATGCAGACTTGGGTGGAGTGTGGATCAAGGGTGCAAAGGGGCGTGATCAATTTCCGCACTAGAGAATTGGGACACCCTACGCACTCACACCCGTGGCCGGGACCGCTCAACTGAAGGGCGGAAGTGTGAGTATTGGGATTGGGCCAGTAAAATGGATGTCAACGAGCAAGTATGTCTCCGTCCATATTCTGTCACGTGAGCACAGGCTGAAAAAGAAAATCACGGAGGTAAATTTTGTTTTTCTTTAAACGACTCAACTGTAGCTCTTTTTTTCAAATGTGTCTGTAGCTGCTGCTTCTGTCCACCACAAAGTTTAAATCTGTTCTAATGAATCTGAGAAGTTGATGAGGTGATAGTGGGTCTCAAACCCAGACCAGAGAAGAACCGCTGGCAAAAGGTTAAACACAAGGTGATCTGCATTGGCTTGAGCGGGTCTGACCAAATCCCATCAAACAGAAGTCGCTTCTGGTTTTATCAGACTCGTTCACCAAACAGCTGAACAAACATCCAGTATGATGCTGATTCCAGATGTTTGCATTCCAGCGGTTGTGGTCTACGGGGAACATGAACGCATCATTAACGCTCTCTCAGCATGAGTTAAGCTGCTAGATCACAGCAGCAGGACGATGTCGCTGACGGAGCGTCTCTGTTTTATTCTAAAATGTGTGGAAAAGCAGAAAAACGTGGAAGCGCTAAACGTCTGCAGCCATGAAAGGACCGCATCGTGGACATGGTTTATTCTTCTGTCCAAACACAATTTTTGTCCCCTGCACTTTTTACCGTCCAAAAACAAATGACACTCTATACGCTCATCTATTGGCTCTGCTGAGACATGCTAACGTGACTGGCTCATGCCGGTTGTGTCCCCCCCCACCCCCACACACTTCTAAAGTCAAAACTACGTCCATGGACTGCATCCAATCTGAGTTTTAATCACAAATCTGTTAGAATCAACCATGAAAATGAGGGAACTAAGTCAGAATCATGCAACGTGAGTCATCCATCAGATCTCCAGAGCCTCCGTCTGTTCGGGTCTCCCTTAGCAGATCCTTCCTCAGCTGTTCAGCGAGGAATGGAGAATACCCACCTCCAACACGTATGTTGTCTAGGCCCACGCCACACAAACCCACCACCACCAGAGTGACCAGTCACTAGAGGACCAACCTAGGAACAGCGGGCTGAAGAGGCTCAGCTGTTCTCTGGCTCAGCTAATCAGCCACTAAAGCGCTTCTTGGTAATAGTCTAAAAGCTGCCTTAGGACACCTGGAACCACTGAAAGGTGGAATGCGGAGCACGAATACCAAAGCAACATCTAGTGTGTGGAGGTTGTAGTTGCAACAATAGGACAGGGTTTCCAGCCGGCGGGATACCAGGTTCACTGTCGATACGCGTCATGTTATATTTGGGTCCAAGAGCTGTAGGCTTCACCTAAACTCACTCTGGCTTTACATTTTTGATGGCTGCTCTTTCTCTGAGAAGGATAACAACATCTTCTGGGCTCAGAGGCAGATGCTTGACATCCCGAGTCTGCCATTTTCTACAGAGCCAACCTCGCTGCCTGGCAATTCACAATGGTGCCCTCTACTGGCTGGTAGATGTAAACACAAACCCAGTGTTGTGCCCGCCAAAATGATTTTTTAATGAAAATCTAGCTGTTAAAGGAAGTACTGTAGCAAAGCTGGGTGTTTCTTATTGCTGGGTTCAGTTCCAGTGTGTGTGTGTGTGTGTGTCTAGCGTACATCACAGCCTGATATCTCACACGCGTTTGTCTCTGGATAACACTTTTCACTCTGAAACCAGACAGGAAATGAAGGAGTTTGTTCTGATTTCATAACAACACAACCGAAACACAAAATGGTGCCGGCATCAGAGTCCCGACGGTCTGTTTCTCACGTTGGACTGACCTGTGCACTTGCTGTGCCGGCCTCGGTGACTCGTGTTGGACTGGAGATGTGTGGGAGGCCTGCACAGCAGTTGGTCTGGAGCTCAGCCGGCTGGGCTGATGTCAGTTTAGTAAAGCTGTCTTTAGTGATGCGCAGCCTTTGGGTTTTTCTTTCAGTTCATCTGTTATTTGTTCAGCTAAGCCCAGTTCTGCAGCGACGAGGAGCTGGATGGTTCCTGCCTCTCCTCACCAAGCGCCGCAGCTTCACACCGTGATCTACTTCAGGAGCCACTGGTTCACTGAGGAGCAGAGAAGGTGAGTCAGTCTGGAATAAAACACCGGGAGCTTCAGTTTTCAGGAGCAAAATGCTGCAAATAAGAAAGAACAACTCAATAACGGGCAGATAGAAGGATGTGCTGGGGAAGACTGAACAATCTGCTGCAGCTCTTGCTTTTCTGGGCACAAACCAGAACATAGAAGCCCGTTAGCCATGTTTCACTTCACTTATGGAATAATTGTTGATGAACCCTGTGAATAAAATATTAAAAATGACCTTGGTGCTTTTACCACCTAACTAGACCAGATCTGAAGGATGTTTAAATAAACAAACACCCTTTGTTGGTAGCAGGAGCTCTGTTATGGACTCTGTAGGAGCCCGAGAGCGTTTTATCCGAACTAGAGAGGGGAGCTTGGTATTTAACATGAACACAAGTGATGAGGAGAGGCCGAGAGAGAGGACCTGGGTCTTAAAACAGCTTTTTAGCATCTGCCACGCGAGTGCACGTCAGTCACCGGAGCTCTTGTGTTTCCCTTGGACATGATTTATTGTGCATCTAATAGGAGCTTCATCCTGCATCCACCCTCTAAAAATGGTCTGCTGAGCAGGAGAGGTGGTAATCAGGCCTGAGTCTGCTCCAGCACGATCTGGCCCAACTTACAGCTGATGAGCCGTGACAGGTGTAAAAATGGAATGGATCCGTTTTGTGCGGTAACGGTGGGGAGTATTCAGGACCCTCTCTGGGCTCAGCTGAGTGCTGTGCTGACAAACGTTCATGCAGTAGAAGGTTCCTCATCACCACCCTCTGCAGGAAGCTGGGCTCCTGCTGGCCCGGTGGAACTTGTTCAAACCCAAACAGAATTAGTAGGATCCACCTCGGAGCTCAAAGCGGATTGGCTCCGACACCTGTGTGTCACACAAGCAGGACCGGAGTCAGCTGGGGGGAGAACGTGTGCTGCACTGGACCAGCCAGAACCATCTGGAGCACAGGCTGTGTGTGTGTGTGTGTGTGTGTGCGTGTGTGCGTGCGTGCGTGTGTGTGTGTGCGTGTGTGTGTGTGTGTGTGTGTGTGTGTGCGTGTGCATGCGTGTGTGTGTGTGCGTGTGTGTGTGTGTGCGTGTGCATGCGTGTGTGTGTGTGCGTGTGTGTGTGTGTGTGTGTGTGTGTGTGTGTGTGTGCGTGTGTGTGTGTGCGTGTGTGCGTGTGCATGCGTGTGTGTGTGTGCGTGTGTGTGTGTGTGTGTGTGTGTGTGTGTGTGTGTGTGTGTGTGTGTGTGTGTGTGTGTGTGTGTGTGTGTGTGTGTTTAAGGCCTGTCCAAAGTTCCGGCTGTGATTTGCTGACTTTGACTGAAAGTTCGCTGGTTATTTATAAGTGAGTGAGTGCAGCCGTTGGCTTTGACAGTTTAGATAAAAATAACTTTAGAGATATCTCCAGTCTTGGCACAAGCGTGTAAAAGTTGCCCTAATTAGCTCCAAAGGATGGGGGACGTAATATGAGACTTGGCAGTAATTTCTGGCTGAAGTGAGTATTTTCGACGCCCACCCACCCACTAATCGTGTTACCTCTGTACTGTGGGCGGAGGGCGCGGTTGTTAGGGCAGTCACGGCCCTGCTTGCTGAAGTTGATGTTGGTTCGGATGCAGCGCTGCAGCAGAGGCTGGGTGGGTCGGGTGTTGTCGCTCATGCTCAGGAAGATCTTGTATGGCTCGTTCTGGCTAAGCAAGCGCAGAGAGTGCATCTGTGGGAACACGGGTGTGCTCAGTTCAGGTGATTACCCAGTCACCACATCCACTCCACACCTGGGCCCTCGTTTATCAGCCGTACTCACTTCCACACACACCTGTGCATATTTCATGTGTAGGAACAACTGTGTAGTGTTTACCACCTTGTACTTGTGTGTGAAATGTTCCTAAACATAAGACCAGCTCAGACCATGCAAACAAACAGCATCTAGTGGTAGAATGGGGGTGTGGTGTCTACTATAAACATAAAATAATAGCATATAATGTTGTAGTAACTGCAGCTCAAAAAGTACGAGTCATCCTTTTTCCATTGGAGCCCCAAAGTAGATATCCCACCTTAGAGGGTGACAGCTGGGACTCAGAAGTTACAAGAAGACTCTGTGGAGACTCCATTCTCCTACAGCAGCGTTCTGCTGCTATGAGCAGGCTCAGGGATGTGCCTTCACCAAATCAGGACTTTTCAGAGATGCTGTTGTAGAGTTATAAGCAGCTGGGCTGCATGGATCTCCATTGATTACAGTTTTTCTCAATTGTTTACACATGTTTTCTGGTACTTGAGACAGAATGACCACAACATGTAACCATTTCTGTCATGTTCTGTGTCCCTGTGGTCCCCAGCCCCCTCCTGGTTCCCCTCATGCGTCCCCTAATCTTCTGTGCCCCCTTTTGGTCCCCAGCTTCTTCAGGTTTCCCTTCAGTCACTTCACTTATCATTAGTTCTACAGTGTTTCAAGTTCAGGTTATTTTAGTAGCTTTGGTTTAGGATTTACATGTTTTTCTTCCCTGCTTGTTCCCTCAGTTCATTAGGTTCACCTGTGCCCCATTCCCCTCGTCTCCTGTCACCCAGCCCTGTGTGTATAACCCTGTCTGTGTCTCAGCGTGGGTCGGTCCATTGTCGTTGTCAGTGTTGTTCTGTTCCTCCTCGTGAAACTCTTGGTTTTGCTCATCAAAGAGCTTTTTGTTTTTGTCGGTCAGGTTACTGACTTCAGACTCGGCTTCCTGCCCTTTTTGGATTTTTGAATTTTGGACTCTCTTCCTAAATAAAGGATTTTACTTTGATTTTGCTCCTGCCTTGTGTCGTTCTGGGTTCCTGCATCTTGGGTCCTAATCTCCTCCTGGCTCAACGTGACACAACTCACCAACCCCCTTAACCAATTCTGCTAAACTACAAGCACAATTCCTGCGTTGCACTCAAATTGCAAATCTAAAACACATTTTTTTCAAAACACTACACACAATTCACTGCTTTTGGCACAATGTTCAGGCAGAAAATATCACCCCTCACACAGTTTTTCAATCAGCAATCGGAGCTTTAGCATAAAAGGGCGACGGGTGAGCTCTTCTGTGTTGGAGCAATGGATGCCAACATTGGAAACAGAGGCAGAGCCAGAGGAGTGAGAGTAAGAGGAGGACGAGGACGACCAAGGACCGTAATCTCTGATGAGATCCGAGCCACTTTGGTTGATCATGTGGTCAACCATGGTCTTACAATGAGGGAGGCTGGGCCAAGAGTACAGCCAAATTAGAGCAGGTACACTGTAGCATCCATCATCCGGACCTTCCGGAATGAGACTAGGTAAGAAATCTTCTCTCACTAGAAAATGGCAGTACTGCATATCAATACAATCTGTATTCAGTGAGTATAGTAGCAGTACTGCCTGTGGATGGTTTTGTTGGACAGTAAAAATACTGTAAAGTATGTTTCCAGGATTTAGGAAATGTATACCTACTTTGTATTCACAGTATTTTACTATTTGTTTGGCAGAACTGAACGATTACCGACACGAGGAGGTCGGGAACGTCTTCTGTCTCCTGAACAGAAAACTGAAATCCTCAACATGGTGCAAGAAAACAATGTCATAACATTACGGCAAATACAAAAAAAAAAAAAAAAGATAGAAAACAACGACATGTTTCTAAGTATTGATATGGTCAGCCTATCAACACTGGACCGTGTGCAGATATCACCTCAGGATGAAGCAGGTCTACAGGGTGCCATTAGAACGCAACTCAGAAAGAGTCAAAGAATTGCGATATAACTGGGTGCAACAAGTGAGTCCTGCAACTGATGCATACACTCAACACTGTGTACAGTAAATTATACATGTTTCAATATTGTACTCATGATACTGTCATGTGTGTTTCAGAGAGTCCTTGAGCTAGAGACAGCTGAAGTGGAGCACCAGCTCATCTTCATTGATGAGGTTGGGTTCAAACTCACAAAAAGACGAAAGAGGGGAAGGAATATTATTGGCCAGCGTGCCATTGTTGAAGTCCCTGGCCAGCGCGGAGGAAACATCACAATGTGTGCAGCGCTTGGCTACCATGACATCATCCATCACCATGCTGCCCTTGACCCCTACAACTCTGCCCATCTGATCACATTCCTGGACACCCTACACAACACACTCATTCCACCAGACCAGGTCGATGGTCCAGAACATCCCAGGTACGTTGTCATTGGGACAACGTAAGTTTCCACCGGGCTGCTGTGGTTCATAACTGGTTCACTGGCCACCCACGCTCTTTAGTTGTTTATCTCCCTCTATATTCTCCACTCCTCAATCCCATTGAGGAATTTTTTTCTGCCTGGAGATGGAAGGTGTATGACCGACAGCCACAAACCCGTGTACCTCGTGTACCCTGTGTATATAGGACCTGTGTCCATGCTGCCGACTCCTCCAGAGCTCCTTGTGTCTACATCAGATCTGTAATCCTCCATCATTCCCTGGATTTACCCCAGAGACTCTCTCCAGAAAGCCGTGCCAACACATCCCAACAAAGACTTCCAGAATCCCTCTGAATCAGTGCTTCCTGCTGGATGTCTCAGCTTCACGGCCCGCTCATTAGATGAAGCTGTCACCACAACATGAACCGTGTTAGCGCAGAAACACGCTTCCACCCAAATAAGGAGGTTCTCTGTAGGTTAGACCGGAAACGGACTTGAGGAAGCATCACCTGAGACTGTGTGGGTGAGGGCTTTAGCAGAAATAGATATCTTACACTCCTGTTTCTGGGACTGAACATGGTTATGAAGCTAAAGAGGAAAGGAAATGAACTGTTAATGAAGTCTTTTTATGAGCAACACAGTTAGCTTGAGTACCTGAAATATGATTTTTAATCTGAAGGAGGGGTTAGATCTCCATCTCACCCAGCCTTCTTATGTTGGACTGAACAAAGTGGTGAGGAAACCTCCGCTAGGCTCACGAGACCCACTTCAATCCTGAAACTGTAGAAACATTTCTAGTTATCAAAGTCTTAAGTTTGTTTCTCTGAGCTGAATTTAATGATCGGCCTCATTTTAACTGTATGTGGTGGAATATTCAGACGCCCCTCGGTTCGTTTACCGCCCCACTGCTGCTTCAGCAATTATCATCAAAACAAATCGTTTTCTATCACAAACATCTCAAGTTTACACTGAAACATAGAAGAAGGAGACGCGTTACCCGAGGCTGTGAGGAGGAGTCATGTGGGGGGGCTCAGATGTTAGGTGGGAGGTGATTGTCCTGATGCGTGCAGGTAAGTGCTGCCCTGGACGGTAATGTGCTGCTCTCTGACACACAGCTGCTGGTTATAGAAACGTTTGTCATCTGGCTAGAAAAGCTTTAGAGTCTGATCTGATCCATCCACCGCACGCCTCAGAGAATTATGGGTAAAACCCTTTTCTTACATCAACTAATTAATCAACCTTGTTAATAACACACACACACACACACACACACACACACACATACACGCACGCACACACACATACATACATACACACACACAAACACGCACACACGCACACACACACACACACACACACACACACACACACACACACACACACACACACACACACACACACAAAAACACGCACACATGTACAAACATACACACACACAAACACGCACACATGTACAAACATACACACACACACATACACACACACACACACACACGCACACACACACACACACATACACACACACACACACACACGCACACACACACACACACACACACACAGACACACCAATCAAAGAAAGATAGACAGACAGACAGATAGATGATAGATAGATAGATAGATAGATAGACAGATAGACAGATGATAGATAGATAGATAGATAGATAGATAGATAGATAGATAGATAGATAGATAGATAGATAGATAGATAGATAGATAGATAGATAGATAGATAGATGATAGATAGATGATAGATAGATAGATAGATAGATAGATAGATAGATAGATAGATAGATAGATAGATAGATAGATAGATAGATAGATAGATAGATGATAGATAGATAGATAGATAGATAGATAGATAGATAGATAGATAGATAGATAGATAGATAGATAGATAGATAGATAGATAGACAGACAGATAGATGATAGATAGATAGATAGATAGATAGATAGATAGATAGATAGATAGATAGATAGATAGATAGATAGATAGATAGATAGATAGACAGATAGACAGACAGACAGATAGATGATAGATAGATAGATAGATAGATAGATAGATAGATAGATAGATAGATAGATAGATAGATAGATAGATAGACAGATAGACAGATGATAGATAGATAGATAGATAGATAGATAGATAGATAGATAGATAGATAGATAGATAGATAGATAGATAGATAGATAGATAGATAGACAGATAGACAGATGATAGATAGATAGATAGATAGATAGATAGATAGATAGATAGATAGATAGATAGATAGATAGATAGATAGATAGATAGATAGATAGATAGACAGACAGACAGATAGATAGATGATAGATAGATAGATAGATAGATAGATAGATAGATAGATAGATAGATAGATAGATAGATAGATAGATAGATAGATAGATAGATAGATAGATAGACAGACAGACAGATAGATGATAGATAGATAGATAGATAGATAGATAGATAGATAGATAGATAGATAGATAGATAGATAGATAGATAGATAGATAGATAGATAGATAGATAGATAGATAGATAGATAG